CGATTCTTCGTGAACTTCATAACTGAATAGTGATCGACCGTCTTCAAGTGATTTGCCTGCGAATGTTAGTTGTTGTATATCTATCCGAATACCGTCTTTGCTTTGTATTTTTGCCTTGATATTTAGAATTGTGTCACTGAATTGCACCTCTAGCACTATTGTTTTTCCGTCGATGGTACGAACAAATATCAGCATTATGTCAGGAAACTGAAATAAATACTGGCGATAAATGTGCAGTTAAAGTATGAATAAAAAATATAAATCAAGCAAAGCTGCTTATGTCACTCTTTTCATAAAGTATGTTTTGTTGCTCATATAGAGACACAGTTAAAAACCCAGGTCAAACCAGCACAGTAGTAAACGGCCATATACGAAGAAATACGGCAGTTTACATGAACCAGTATTACGGTCGTATATCTCCCTGTCGTATATGAGCTCTGTTTGGAGTGTGGGTGGGAACATGAGTATGGATTTGTGAGAAGTACAACAGAACGCCCACACGACATTTCCTTTTCCGTCTAAAAAATTTCCGGTGGTCAATACTTCTTCTCGATAGAGCACTAAAAAGATCTACAGATCACTGGGCTCATGCAATCGTGGAAGTGGATAAGTAGAGCTTATTAGTATTTTTATGAATATCCGCTCCCTTGTCACTGGAGAGTTGCTTAAAAGTAAAACTCATGTATCATTCAAAGGATGTTAAAATACTTTCTCGCGAGATGACTACTACACATACTAGTGTCGAAGGAGAACTTGCTTGAATATGAAAGTGATTAAATCGTGCAGATGTTGGTGTTTGTTGGTCAGGTGTCACTTAATCCGTAAATAATTAGTTGAAATGAATACGGACAATGAACTTGTTGATAAGGGTTCACTCTTTGATATGAGAAAGAAATCTGAAAGAGAAAAGTGCTATTAATACTTTTATATAAAGCGCTTCGTATAGACAATAGTACCAAAACAAAATGATAGAAAAATAATACAGACGGCACTAACGCCTATCTTTCAAATCATAGAAAGCCACTATCAAGGCTATCATTGTCTGAGTATGTAATAACCTACAAACTCTCGCAAATCCACTCTCGTTTAACGAACAGCTCAACGTCAAACCGCTCAGATATCGTTTCAACTTTAGTGGCTCTGCGTGAATTCATTCTATTCAACAAACCATTCAACCCCAACTGTAGCTGAAACTCCACGAAAACCATTCGCAAAGAAGCTATGGCTCACTCTCGCCATCAACTATGATATTCCATTTACGTTAAGTAAATATGATTTGCTTTTAAAATGCGGCCTGTAATAAAGACTGAGTTTTCCAAGCAACGCAGAAGAAAAAAGTGCACTGAATCAATGGAAAGAGAAATGAATATAAATTTATGCTCAGCGTTCTGTCGCGATTACCATGAAACGAAATTCACAGCTCTCTCTTTATATATATTTATATACACCAGAATTACACTGCTTGTGTGAGGATTGCTTTGCGTGCAGAGAGCGCAGGCAAACATGCAAAGTGGGAGAAAACCACAGATTATAGTGCAATAAACAAAAGATAATGAATTCCGAATACATCTTGCTCTTGTTGGCGATAAATGTGAGAGAGCAAGAGAGGACAGAATTTTCAGGTGAGAGAAAATTGCACTATTCGTGCAAGGATTGTGTTGCGTGTGAAGAGCGCCCACAAACATTCGCAGCCTAGGTGAAAGACGTTCGGCAGCCAAAACATGGCTCTAGTAGGTTTCCTGCGAGCTCCAGAAGTAGGATTCCTAATTAGTTCCGCATTTCGGTTTTGGCTTGGTTCCCACGAATACAGGAATCTGGAAGCGATTTCCGGATACGGTTGTCCAATTCCTGCACCGTTCCCAACTATGGTTTCGGAGTTTTGGTCACGAAGACAGATACCGGTTCATATGATGGGTGTGGGTGTGGATGGTGTGGGTATGAATGTGGGTGTGATATCACTGTATGGTCATGCACACACACTCTCCACACACCCACCCACACCCGCAAAATAAATACAGTTAACCCGTTATCGTTTATATACAGAATAACAACATAAACATATCTCTGTTATCAAGCAAACTTCAAAGATCAGTTCTTTATTACCATCTTTTCGGACTTTGTCAATTTTTAAATTTTTTCAAAACTCTGTTTAATTTTGCGCGAATCTCAGCTTAATGTTGATTAAAGTAATTATAAAACTATAGTCTTCTTTTCTTTTCTTTTAGACCATTTCCTTGAATAAAATCAGCTTAGCCGTTAGTATTTATTTTTCTAATTTTTTGTCTATTTTGAGATCATTATGTCGAAAAAAATTATTCAATTTTCTTACGCTTAGTTTGGATAGTTTCTTTCAATGGGTGGAGTGTGTGACATTCACAATCGTTCAATAATGTCAGCACATGTTGACTAATGTGTGATGCATTGTGGTACGTTGTATGCAACGACTCTATCAGGAAAAAAAATCATTCTATGTTGTAGACAATTTTTCCCTTCTCCTGTCTCTTTTACGACCGAACAAAATGGGATATGAATTTTGATAGAACTCACTATCAATTTCAAGATTATAAGTTGAAATTCTAATTACTCAGAATTCATATTCTTTCAAACGAATACTATTTCATTATGGATGGCATTTAAAATGTTGCTGACGAAGAAGAAAAAATAATCTTTTTGGCAGCAAAACTTGTTGCATTTTTTGTTTCTTTCTTCTCTTATTAATTACTTATACAGTGGTAGAATGAAAAAAAAATAGCACGAGCGTTTTTGACTATAAATACTGATGAATGATTGAAAGCGCCATTTCGATCTTTTTTTTTCTTTCAAATAGCCCGTTTACAACTGCTGCTCCTTATCGTTCCCCTTACTTCAATATTTCTGTTGACTCCCGAACGGAAAGGTATTGGTCAGGTTATTAAGAAAGACAAATCATTAAGATGGAAGACTTTTTGGTCTGTCAATTTTCGATTTCTGTAATAGCACTTTAGAGTTGGCTAGATATAATATTCAATAATCAATTGTTGTGAGAAAAAGCTTTTTGCGCAATTCTTTTAAGATTGAAATGTCAAATACTACGGGAACATTTTAATTGTAATGGAAGATCTTCTGTATATTGATCACAATCTCTGACAGCGGCAAATAAACAGCATGTTGACCTCTCTCTCTCAGGTTTTGGTTAGAGAGAGTTGTCAACTTTCTTGCAGTATAATTCAATCATGATTGACAATCTAGTTTCAGAGAATTACATAAAATCTGAGCGTTCAAATAAATAAATAATTTATGTTTTTGGTTCAAAAATCTAAAATAACATAACGACATGTCTGTCGTGATCTGTGGGGTGTGGTGGAGTGAGAGAAGAATTTGCTTTTCTTACTCTATATTTTGACACTCATTAGCACTCGTGTTTCACAAAATGAGTATAATATTTTGTTCAATTCAAAATATAATTCTACAATATGAGAAATGATAAGAATATAAATAACTGTAATCGGAAAGCTACAGTAGAAGGAAGATATGATTCATTTATGGCGATCGTTGAAAACTATCTCATACGATCATCTATAATGACTTTTGCATGACAGTGATGAATTTTTGGTCTTTATAAAAATTTGCCATTGATGTTGTTCTACTGTTTAAATGAAATCTATCGATTTGATGAATGAAATACGTCGCAAACGCAATTTGGAATCGTCTACTTTGATCTGGTTGACACATGATCCTGATTAAACTAGATTGAATGAACTTCGAAAAGTTATTGATTATGTAAAAACATTTGATAATATTGATACATGTAATAGATATATCAATCTAATGGAAGATGATAATCAAATCTATGTAATAACTGAAATTTCATACATTTCAAATCGAGCTTAAGTCTATTTCTACGAAACCAAAGAGAATAGTAATAATATCGATACAATAATTCAAACCATTGAAACAGATCATAATTCTCAAATAAATCCACTTGGAATCAATATTTTTAAATAGTCAATACATTCACTACTCAATAGTGAATTTCTATGGTTCCAACATATTCTTAATATTTTGATCGATACAGATGATGGTACAAAAGCTAAAATGGATTTTCTTCACATCTACAAACGATATTTTAATGGTAATCGATGAAAATAAAAAAATAAAAATAAAAGAGTTCGAAGATAATTATCAATCAGAAAATTCTCTTCAATGATATACTCGTGAATGTTTCTTTTTTTGATACAATCAATAAAACATTACGTACACAAGATATTGATGTTTTATTTTCTTTGCGACTTTTTCTTAAAGATTTATTTCATCAATTAAAATTACATTATGAAAAAACTTCACGTGAAATCAGTATAGTTGTTTATCGCAGTCAAACAGAATTCATTAATGACTTGAAAATTATTCGAAAAAATATTGGTCAATTAATATCTTTGAATAGTTTTATATCGACCACATTTGATTATCAAATAGCGAATGCTTACAGTTTGAATGAAGACTTATCTGGAGAACGTGTGATCTTTCGTATTCCTGTTAATAAAAATATCATTAATCCAAAGCCATTTGCCAATATTTCGACTATTAGCCAATTTATCGAAGAAAACAAAGTTTTATTCATGACAGGGCCAATCTTTGAAATAAAAAGTACTGATTTTTCCGAAACATCTAATGCATGAATTATTGAATTACATTTGTGTGATGATAATGCCTATGAACTTAACGATGTTTATCAACAAGATAAAAATATGCTATTCAATCAAATATTTCCATTTACTTTAGTTGTTGTATTACTTAGAATGGATTTATTCGGTATAGCGCAGAAATATTATCAACAATTACTCGAACATGGGTCAGTGACTAACCTTTCTTCAATCGATCTTACATTTTATTGTTTTGGGGGATTGAGTAATTTTGCTCAAAAACAAGCCGATTTTGATATAACATTGGCCTATAATTATTTATCAATCGAACAGTCTCAATATTGACCTAATCTTCTATTTCGTAGTTACAAATATATTAGTATGAGCTATTTAGAAGTCAATTCTATATTAGAAGCCCTTGAATATCAAATGAAAGCATTAGAAATTCAACGAGAAATTAATGATGATCGTGATGAAATTGCAGATACATTGTATAATCTTGGAGCAACTTTTTTCAATCCATTCAAGCCGAAAACTGATTTAGCTTTGGATTATTTTTTCCAAGCACTTCAGATTTATCAATAATTAAATATGTATGATCATATAATGCGATGTTACCATGCTATCGGAGAAGTCCAT